CAGCAAAAGAACCAAATCTTTCCTCGGGGAGATAACAGTGCACCCCCTGATGCGATACTGTAGTAGACAGTTATAATTTTGTCCCTAATATTATTAATCTTATAAGTGAAGAAATTCATAAAGTCATTACTGCGGTGTTGCTTCGACACTTCTGGGCTTGAAGCTTTCTTTTTCGTTAGTTTAGCCACTGTTTCAAATAGATACCTAGGATTATGTTTATTTTCTTCTAATAGGTTTGAAAAATAAGCAGACCTAGTCGTTTTTAAGGCCTCTCTGTATGCAATCGAGCTCTCCTTCCATGAAATCCGGAATAGCTCTAATTTAGTTTTCTTCCAGCTACGCTCCATTTTTCCATTAATGCTGCATATTTATACCTGAGAATGCGTTGACACGTTTGCACAGTGAATGATGAGGGAACGTCTGCCAATTCCATCAACTGCATTAAACGTATAAATAGCTATAATTTGTATTATTTAAAATTACTTTTCAAATTCCAAAGCTGATAGAAGGTGGCAATACTGACCTGGTAGCCTTGAGTAAATTAACTTGTTTAAGATAATGATTTATAAAACATATAATTACCAGATTTATAAAACATATAATATAATTAAAATATATAATTACCTGTTTATTTTCTTTACTGACACAGATGAAAATGAAAAGAATATCAGTCAAAGTCCAGCTTTAGAAGGGGAATAAATAAGGCAGGATAAGGTGACTGAGAGAAAAAGGAAAAATGTAGATGAGGAGAGAGCAGGTATTGACAAAATAACATAATGCCCACTGACATGGTTTTAAAGCTATTTATTATCCTTTTTTTGTTTGGCCTTCAAAAGTCTTAAATTGCATGTCAGAGAAATAAAAAAAAAATTCGGGGGAGCATGCCCCTCAACCCACCTAAATACCTTACTTTTTAATGCACATGTCTGTGGGTGGGGCTGGGGATGTGGACTGGTGTGGCTACAGTGCCAGGGCTCAATTTTTGTCCCAGTGTTAAGCAATTTTAACAGTATCATCATCATATCAGTGTAGATGGACCAAAATAAAACCATTAAAATATCAAATAAATAAGTGATGCGTACTTGGTGCCACAGCGACACTCTTGACCCAAAAAGTATTGCTATAGCACGATACTCAATATGTTGTCCCACGGAGAGTCATTTTTCCCTGTTGTACCTACACAAAATTTGAGGGTTCCCCCACCTACCAAATCCCACTTTGACCACTGCTTATACCCTTGACTTTTTTTTTGGGGGGGGGGGGATTTTCTCTTCGTTTTTTCACTCGAAATGATATGTTGTATGCTTATGAGTTCAGCCGTAGCTGGTTATCCTCAGACATGCTCTAATACTCTTTAGATATGGATTTTACAAAATGTCAATGGGAGAAATTAATGGGATACTTTACTTCCGGCTCTCTCAGGCTGTGGGCGGGACTGTGATGCTCTATTCAGTGTGCAATTTGAAAATGCATTCTGAGCTGATCACATGCCCATCCTGTCTTTACACTGCTGACTAGCCTGAATAAAATAGACAGGTTATTGTCTACTGGTTTATCCAGCCTTTATAGAGCTCTGTTGGTTGAACATGATGATTTGCAGAATACAAATATACAGTTTTTGCAGTTAATTTTTCAACTTTCAACTTATTATTGAAGTCATTTTTTTCAATGAAAAACTATAGGCCCACTCACATTTTCACTGGCCCACCCAAAATTTAATTTCTGCCTACGCCACTGCTTAGGTCGTCTTCGAATCCACTTTTACAAGTTTAACGACGAGAAAAGAAAGATGGCAGCCTTTCAACAGAATCACAGTTTGATCAATAGTTTGATCAGTTTCTCATGGCGACTCCTGCATACACCACATCTTCCTCCTCTTGAACTCTCTGAAAGAAAACAAAAACACACATTCACATCACAGATGTGGTTATCAAGAACATTTTAGACAGACTAAAAACATTTTAGTGCTTTAGTGTGTTATTGCACACAGAAGGGTGTGTCTTTGAGTTAACACCTTCTGGTCATTTGTCATGAATGCAAATTTCCACTGCTTTTTGCAAATGGTCAACTTCTGCCCCCAGTACGTCTGGGGGGTGAACACATTAAGTTTCCACTGTAAACTCATGTTTTACATAGCCTTCAAAAAATTAACCCAAAGTTCTGTTGTGTGATGAACTGTATACATGAAGACAAAAAGGCTACAAACAAAAGGATTAGGATGTTAGGATCTCCCACAGGAGATCGACCTTAACTGGGAGGAGCAAGCTTGTCCAAATGACCAGTTTTTTAAGAGCAAGCGTTTTGCGAATCCCATGGTGAACTTTAAAATTTGAGAAGCAGTCTTCAGTAAAATGATGTGTTTGTGAGCGTGTCAAGTTATTTGCAGGCGTGCAACATAGGTGGGGGTTATGCAAATGTATCTTCTAGTGACGTAGAACCACAAAGCAGTAGGATTCGAAACAAAACGTCTCGTATAGTCAGTTCAGAGTCGATTCTTTCTATTGAGAGACAATAACTTTATTTATCGTTCACTTTTGACTTTACAACTTTGCAGAAAGTTAACATTCAAAAACTTTAAGGACATATTTCATATACTCCAGTGCTCTAAACATAAACCAGCACCATGTATGTGCGCATATTTCATCATATCTTGTTCAAATGAAATGTATATGTGCAAATAAGGACACTGATACAGCCGTACGTCTGATCATAAACGCAACTGTGGCAAGCAGGACGAGCATTAATGATTAACGATGAACTGTGAGACGCATCGCTCTCGTATTTCTCACGGAGGAGCGGAAGCATAAAAGGAGGAGCGACGACAGTGGAGATCGAGAGAGGCCAGGCCTGGATTTTATTTAATATTTTGTTTAAAGTTCAGAAAATTTATGTAGCCCCTTAACTGTCACCGTCCCGCTACCGGGACGCCTAACTTTACTTCACTATATTTCAAATAAATCCTAATCTAATTATGACAAATTATATATAGTTGGAAAGGTCAAAGACTTCTAAATAAATATTCTACCCCTGTTTTGTGTTCCAAATTATGTAGGAAGAGTAATTGATGAATTTATGACGAGTACACCTCAAAAAATCTTAAATCTCAATAAATAAATATTTTGTAAAATATATTTTATATAAAATAAAAAATATATTACAGTATATTACAGTACAGTATATTTGATTTACTGTAAATTTAAACTTAAATAACTTTTTCATACTTTCATTTGTTTTCACTTCAGCAATAATCTGCTGAGTGTTTTCTTTAAAACAAGACCAAACTTGGGTATATATTCCAAAGCATTCTTGAACTGCAACCTTTTAAGTTTGAATAATGCATTTTAACCCCCATTCTCAAAAAGGGGGGTGACAGCTAAGGGGTTAATGTAATGCGGTCCGTCCGTGTGGGGCTGCTGTCTTTTACTTAGATTTTTGTATTTGTTTTATTTTGTTATTAAATTGTGTGAACGTTCGCCGGTTCCCACCTCCTTCTTCCTTCCTTACATTGAACATTGTTACAGCAACAACATAACAAATTATTCTAATAGACAGAAAACACTAAGCCTACTGCACATTTTATAAACAATAGTTTAGTATCAGCATTTGATGGGGAAATATGTAAAATTATGAAATGATGAAAGGCTTAATCTGACTGAAATAACACACAACAAATAAAAAATAATTTATCTTACCGATTTTTGAGCTTTTCTTTTGTAGAATGTCGGATCAGCATATGTTATTTCTTCACCACTCTGAACTGTTTGAACAATATAAATGATAGACTGTTAAAAAGCGGAATAAAAGATGTTTGAGAATTATTGTTGTGCTTTTTCTGCAACACGTTTACGTTGTTTTCATATAATGCTTATGGGGCTGTTGAATGCTCGATTCAGATGGACCCTTTTCACAGACTGTGACGCGCAGGTACATTGCACAGGTAGTCAATCAATATCACAAATCTAGTAAAGTTTTTCATATTTTGATTTTTAAAAACTTTAAAATTTTTGGAAAGTCGTGGAAACATGATAGATTTTTTTCCTGAGTACGGATCCACATAAACTAGAATGTTAAGTTCATGACAAACTCTTTAAATAAGTCCAAGAGTTTTACACTTTGGTCTGTTATTGTAGGAACATTGACTTTACATTTTCATGCTCCAAAACATGACACTGAACAAAACAAACTGTGACTGGTTGCTTTACTTGTCAGTCAGACAGCTCTTAGGCTGTCCTTGGCCAATGAAAGCTGCAATGGAGCCCAGACCTTGTGCCGTCAGTCCAGAACTAGGTATCCGGTGTTCTCTTGCGAGAGGTTCTCTCGTTTACGCTACAGGAAAGATTAATCTTCTCGAGATTTTGAAGCCAAAAAATTATCCTTAATTTTGTATTCATTGTCAACGCAGTGCAGCAGCTAGCAGATCTAGAGCAGGCTGTCTAGCGCTCATAGGCTGCCCTGCGGGAACTGCACAGCCTACCAGCGAGTCCGATGTGACGTCACGTCCAATTGAGGGCGCTCATGCCCTCACCGCATCCTAGCCCGCCAGAATGGGTGTGGCTTAGCGTATATAAGCAGGGCTCAGAGGCTGTTTCTCTGGTTTTCATCGACTGAAGCAAAATAGCGCTTGTGGTGTTAGCACAGCAGGTCACACAATATTCATTCCCTCATCTAGAGAGAACCGAGGTTACGTTAGCTAACCGATTCGTTCACTTACGAGAGGTTCTCTCGTATTGTGTAAGTTTAGCTTGCGCTACGGGAACCCTTTGTTAACGCTGTGCGCGCCAGCATCCACCTCCTGAGTCGCAGAACGTTATGAGGGTAGTCTGCACATGAAAATATCTGGACAGAACTGACCTCTCACTTAGATAGCAGTTTCGCCTGCAAGGCGTTGAACTTCCAGGTTATAAAACCTGACAAAGGTGGACGGAGAGGACCAGCCCGCCGCCACACATATGTCTTGAATGGAAATTCCGCTGGACCATGCCCACGACGTGGCCAAGCCTCTAGTGGAGTGAGCCCTGATGCCCAGAGGGCACTGCAGACTTTTTGAAAACGGTTTTGAGTGACCGGTATTTCAGGTCCGCCGAGTCTAGGGTTTCAAAGGGGAATGCTTTCAGGGCCTCTAGGACCAAAGAAAGATCCCACATAGGAACTGAAGGGGGGCGCGGAGGATTCATCCTTCTGGCTCCTCTGAGGAAGCAGATGATAAGCTCGTCCCTGCCTATTGACAGACCGTGCATTGATTCTGAGAATGCTGCGACGGCCGCCACATAGACTTTGAGCGTGGATGGGGATCTACCCCTGTCCAGCAGCTCTTCAAGGAAACTGAGCAGCCGCAGGACCCCACACCTTCGCAGGTCAAGGTTTTTGCCAGTGCACCATTTAGAGAACACAGACCATTTAGACGCGTAGAGCCTTCTGGTAGAAGGGACTCTAGACTACGTGATCGTGTTCAGTACTGCATCTGGCAGGGAAACGGATACCCGTTGATCACCCATACATGCAGAGACCAGCACTCAGGATGGGGATGCCAGATCGAGCCGCAAGCTTGAGCGGGACAAGCTCGGGACAGGCGGGACAGGCCATGGGGCTGTCTGTGACAGCCGTGTTAGCTCTGGGAACCAAGTCTGGTTTTCCCATCGCGGGGCTATGAGGAGCACTGAATGGCGCATTTCCCTGATTCTCTTGATCACCTGTGGCAACAGAGACACCGGAGGGAAAGCATATAGTGGGCGGCTGTCGCGCACGCTGTGTTGATAGGCGAGCCTTCATGGCCACAGAGTCCAGTTCTATTCCTAAAAAGGAAATTGACTGACTAGGCAGGAATGAGCTCTTGATCCAGTTGACCGTGAGACCTAGGCTTTTCAGATGACTGAGGAGCGCAGCTCTGTGAGACAATATTTCTGTCTCTGACTGTGCTAGAATCAGCCAATCGTCCAGATAGTTAAAAATTCGCATGCCCTGAGTTCTCAAGGGGGTGAGAGCCGCGTCCATGCACTTTGTGAATGTATGGGGTGCTAAGGACAGGACGAACGGCAGGACGGTGTATTGATAAACCCGACCGTCAAAGGCGAATCTCAAGAATGGCCTGTGACGGGGTATTATCTGAATCTGGAAATAGGCATCTTTCAGATCGAGAGATATAAACCAGTCCCTCGAGCGAACGTACGTGAGGAGTTGTCTGGTTGTAAGACAACGGTTTGAACGGTCTTTTCATAAGGGCTTTGTTCACATGCCTTAGATCCAGTATGGGTCTGAGTCCCCCGTCCTTCTTGGGCACGAGAAAATAATGGCTGTAAAAGCCTGACTCGCTCAGAGAAGGTGGAACCGGTTCTATGGCCCCTTTGCACAGCAGCTTTGCTATTTCTGAGAGAAATAGGTTTGCTGCTTCTGCATTCACTGCCGTTGCGGTCCGTGTTCGAAAGCTGGGCTGTAACGCATAGCCCTGCTTTATAGTGTTTAGCACCCATTCCGATACCCATGGGATAGCTTTGCATGCTTTTGTGGAGCTAGAGGTAGAATGTAGCCTGGCATGCCAGACCTACATCAAGATGTTAGGTCTGGAAACTCTTCATTGACACGGCTCAATCCGAGGGGCGAGATAAACGGTTGTCTTTCAAATTCTCTCTGCACGCAATTGGATAGCGCTACAGCCAATCAGAGCAATGAAGAAGGTGACTTACTCAGCGTAGCAAGTTGATATATTAATATTAAACTTTTACCGTATCCAGTCCAGCTGTCAACATTTAACATTGAAAATAAGGGAGATTTCCCGGAATCCATCCCCAAAATAAGGGATTTTTTTTGTTTTTTACACGACCCACAAACTTTAAAAATAAAACACTAATCATTAAAAGTCTAAAGTGTTTATAACTAGCCTACATACCTGTATGTGTGAGAGAAAGAGACAGTATGTGTGTGTTTGTGTGTGTATGAGAGAGAAAGAGACAGTGTGTCATTAAAAAAATAATATCATAGAGAATGTTTAAATACTAATATCAGCTTACGAGGGAAACGGAGCCGGAGTAGTGGTGCTTCGGAGTGGTGGAGATGATTCGGGAGAGGTCCGCGCACCGATCAGAGCGTGCACTGACATGGAGTAAAGCTTCATCTTTATCTTCGACGACACAGCACGAGCGTGGCAAATATGACAAGTTGATCGTTTTGCCACAGCTTTTTTGTAACAGCGCGCGCGGCGCCGGCCCCATCCGAGGATGAACGACTTAAAACCGAATATGTCCGAGCTGGCTCTGACCGTCGCAACTCTGTCGTCATTTTGTTAAGCCCGCCCGCCGACCCTATACACGATGTGATTGGCCCTACCAGAGTTGGGGTTTTCCAGCTAAAACGTCTATGGAGAGTTGCTAGACCACACTTTGCATCTAGATTTCTAGGCTAGGTAGAATGGTCTCCGGGTTCTGATCGCGCCACTGTGCGGGCTTGAGAAACTAGACCGGAGGAGTGAGCCCCTCGCTGAAAACAGTGGCAGGCTGTTTCATATGCAGCGTCCCGATTGCTGTGAATAGGGAACGCTTTGTTATCACTTTGTGATGCACGAGTGGCGCCGTGAGAGGGGTGTATGCTTGTAAGCGTGGGCGCTCGTAAGCAGGCACGTGACTTACAATCATAGTTTTACCGGCATGAGGCTGCGCTTTGTGGTGTGTGTTTAACATCACTGGTGAAGTGCATGTCAGTAAGCTTGAGCGCTTGTGAGCAGGCATGAGACTTACGTTTACACTCTGACTCATGTGAGACTGCACTCTGAGTCTGTGGTGTGTGCACGGCTTCATGTGAGAAGTGCATCTTAGTAAGCGTGAGCACTTGCGAGCATGCACGAGACTTACATCTATAGCCTGATTGAAAAGAGGCTGCACTTTGTAATGCGCGACTTGGCCGTATAATAATGCGGGCAGATGTGGGCATGGACATCTGGGCACATCTGCTACAGTTAACACTCAAGCGGCATTTGCCAGCTTTATGCGAGTGGGCTCTGAGTGAGACACGGGAAGTGCTGTGTTTATGTGTAGGGGTGAGCACTGGGGTGTGGGCACCTTTACTACACTTAGTCTTGCCACTGAGCCACAGGGGCAAAAGACATAAGCTTTAGTTAGCGCGAGCAGATAAGAGAGCGTCATCACAGTTTTTGTGTGTTGGTGTTTGTTTGCAGGCGTGCATGTTATATACGTAACAGGCTCATTGCTGCAATATTGACATTTCCAGGCGCTCGAACTAGGAGGAGCTGAGAAATGTTTAAGAAATGGATGTTGGTCCGGCCTCGGGGGGACTAAAACATATCGCTTATTTTTTGGGTCGTCAGCATTTCTAAAATTCTCCGTTTTAGGTCTTCGTTTTAGTTTTTGCCGTTTTAGTCTGGACGGGAGGTGCAAACGTAGCAAAAGGTCTAAAACTAAAATGTAGTAGTGTGGATGGTGCCCTAGGGTGTATATTTACACCAGGAAAGTCCGATAGTTCACTTGCTTTGGTCCAGACCAAATTTATTTATTTATTTATTTTATTTATTATTATTATTTTGGTACGGTTCGCTTTCACACTGCTCTTTTTGCAAGTGAACCAAAATTTGTAAACAAAACCACACGTGTGCTAGAAGAATTAGAAACTAATGAGTATCATATGATACAATGTCATCTATACGATGTTGTAATTCGGATTTTGAGAAGACGACGAGTGTAACGTTTCAGCGGTTCTATTAAACTCGGGGAAATACGACAACTCTCGTCTCTCGTGCATCTTTTCATTCGACCATCTACTGTTTTTTATCTCTGGGCAACATCTCAACTTTGCGTTATATATAGAACTTTTCTCGGCACTCGCTTTACATAGAAGGGGGAATCTCGTCAACCACCACCAAAAGGTGGTGAACTGCAAATGCTTTATGAACTGCAAATGATTTTTTTGCATCTGCGCGATTAGACTAAAGAGAACGCTCTGTATGTGAATGTCCTGATGCACTCATTCATTCATTCATTCATTCATTCCATTCCAATGATGCACACATGACGCACAGAAAGACGCGCAGCAGTATCGTGTGGCCAGACAGCGCACCGGAATATTCTCTTTCGATGCAGTGCTTTCTTGCAATTGGGTCGGTTCATGTTCACACCGTAAACGAACCGTACCAGAGTTCGTTTGGAACCGTACCGAGACCACCTCTTCAGCTGGGTCTCGGTTCGGTTGTTTGGTCCGCACCCAAGTTCGATTGCTGTATTCACACCTGCCCAAAAGGTCCGCACCAAGGGGGAAAACGAACTAGAGTTCGATTCAATCGAACCAAACAAGGCAGGTGTGAATACACCCTTAGTCTTAACACTTAGGAAACTTTATATATCACACTTATACTTAAGTTTGGGAATAAGAATACATTTACACTATTCTTAGAATTTTGACATACTTAAGGGCATACTTACTTTTACTCTGAGTGGCTTTGTATACGGCCCCAGTTATTTTTTCAGTTTATTTTTTACAATGTTCAAAAAGTTTCTTTTTAATTAATTGACTCGCTCTGTTTACCTTTTTTTAACAATGGGTTCGTATGGAGACTGGAACAGGACAGCATCCAAACGGAAGTCTATGGTGTTTTCATGGATTCTACAGAAGGACAACCGGAAATCGAGGGTAATTGACCAGCGACTCAATGACATTGGCCATTACACTGGTTAAAATTGTGGATTTCTCTGGATTTAAATATTGTTCGAAACATTTGAATAATGCAAGTGTAACGATGCAGCAGAGAAGGAGGAAGCAGGATCCAAACGCAAGCACAGATTTTAATTATACAAACAGATAATCCAAGACAAACGACAGAACAAGAACCTCAGGACAGGAACAAGGACAAGAAACCACTTCAAGCAACAGCACACATTACAACATCAGGAACTCACCAAGACTGAACTAAACACAGGGCTTAAATACAGAGGAACAGATAAGTGAAACAAGACACAGCTGGGCAAATTAACTAAGAACACAGGTGGTAAACATGAACACAAACGAGGAGCGGGGAAACTGGAACAGGACTGAACCAAATACACAATAATGAGGGAAACACAAGACAGACAAGAACAAGACACAAACCCACATCGTGACAGTATGTGTATAAGTCAACAAAATATAGGACATGGTCCTAGTGATTTTTGGATATTTTAATCTAAGAATTTTACATATTGTGTCCTTAAGCTTGCAGCACTAGAGAGCCTGTTTCGAGCCATGCAAACTCAGTCACTTATCATTCACACACACTTAATCATTCTCTCTCTCTCTCTCTCTCTCTCTCTCTCTCTCTCTCTCTCGCTCTCTAGTAACTCAATATCACTGACTATATTTACAAGCTGTCAATATTCGGGTTATGGTCGGGTTAAGGTCACTATTCGGGTCTTTGAAACATTCGGAAAAACACGTTTACATGCTTGAGCAGAGAGAGTTACTCCTGTATACATGGAATTTGTAATCAATTGGCAATATCCCGATGTAAACAGCAACCTACGGTTAGTGTCTGGACGTACGGACAACCTTAACACGCAATATTGAAGATAATGACATTTCCGATTCTTCTTCCTGTATCCAAAACCAACAACAACAGCAGCACGCAGATAATAAATAGTTCGGGGCAGATAGCGATCGCCTTTGTTTGCACTTTGGTGCTGGTACTGACCGTAGGTCTGAGATGAAGGACCTTGCTTGCAAATTAACATTTGAAAATCTCACACACACACACTTCCTCCCAGCATCCCCCACTCTTGCAGAGATCACCTAAACTCACACAAAAATCTATATGGCTTTAACTTGAACAACTATCATACAGTTTTAAACATTGTTTAGTATTATTTGAAATGTCTACATGTGCAACTGGTACAAGTGCCCTATTTCCAAATAAGTAAAACAAAAGGTAATAAGAGTTTAGGGATAACTGACACACAAAGGAATGTGGTCTCTAGGCATGGTCCTACTCCCAAAAAAAAGGTGTAAATTCATGAATGCAAATTACCACTATTAGCAAATGGTCAATTTCTATCCCCAGTAAGTCTGGGGGGTGAACACAGTAAATTTCCACTAAAATAAGGTCTGGCTATATAATGAAATGCAGCGGAAGGATTAGGGGCCTTTTCTGTATGTCAGATCAACCCGTGAATGCTGAGTCGTCGAGACTCAGCATCATGTATTTCATAATGTCGGGTAAAAGATTTTCCTCTTTTTCTAGAACATTTGATGGTTTGCATTGACTATCTTTCAAATGATTATGAAATTGTAATAATTCATTTACCTGACATAATAAATTGTCACATTTTAAAAGGAATAAGGAATTAAAAGGGTTTAAAGGAGTTAAAAGGAATAGTCAAACATTCACGTAGATTGAATGATGCACAGATACCATTGAAAAACCTTTTCATTTATGGAGTCAGATGAAATAATGAGTTATTACATAAAATAAAATGTATTGCATTTAATTAAAAATCCCTTTGCCATGAGAGAAGACGGGACACGCGTGAGACCTACAACACAAATCAATGTTCCTTTTGATGGGGATATGCCGATACGCGTTTACATGACCAAATATTTGCGTTAGAAAAGGGGTAACCCAGGGATCATATCTGTGTTTTTAATAACCGGAATATGAGCATATTCAGGTTTTTGCGGGTGTTTACATGGCCGTGCGCGAACGGGTTATTGCTAATATTTCGGTTTTGAACAGGTTATTGGCTGCTTCTAAATGTAATGACTCTGTAAAAATTATGTTTTGGAATTAGAAATGGAGGCTTGGGATGAAATGCATAAGACATGTGTCCTCCTGGATTATTCCTACTGCATTTTTACAACTGTATTTTTTTCTACTTAGAAAAAAATAAACTTTTCTTGCCTTGCTCATACAATTAAAAGTAGCAATATTCTACTTATTCAGGGTGAATAATTCCTTACTTAAAAACATGTATTTTTACAGATGTTTCAGCAGAGAGTAATTCTACTTGCCCTCTTGGTCTGTTTTCCTGCAAATCCAGAAGATTCTGACAGCAAAAACAATCAACAGAAATGCAGCAGCAGAGATCAGCACTATATACAAGGTTGATAGGCTCTGATCTGTAATAAACAAAATGAAGCATTAACATGAATGAACCTGTCAATATGCTACAAAAAACACTATATGAAATATCAGCACTATATGACCTATATGAAATCAGTTCAGTAAATATATATATATATATTAGGGCTGAACGATATATCGCACGATATTGTTATGCATCTAATCAGTAAAGCCGGTTCCTTGATTAGTAGTAAATCACCTTCACCTGCTTTCAGATGGAGCGGCATTTACTACAAAGAGCCGTAGTTCACTGACAAGCTGAGCCATATTGCGTTAAAATCGAGGACATATCGCCAACAATATTTAATGCGATATGGCTCAGTTTGTCAGTGAACTACGGCTCTTCGTACACAGCAAAAACTCCAGTGTTAAATTAACACACCTGGGAGTGTATATGAGTCCAAACTCAAGAATGTTACAGTTAATGAGATAATTAAATGATTAATTGAGTGATGATTGAGCATTATTGAAGACACCTAAAGCAGAATCACAAGGAGAAAATCTAAAATTGTAAGCCACCGTTATGGAGATGAGTGTTTGCTTTATTTGGCTCTTGACCCTTATATTATTTCTCTAGATTTTGTTTGGCTTTTGTTTATGAGTTATAACTTCCAGATGAACAAAGAAAAAATACAAACTAATAGCTTTGGTTATATTATGACAATCATCATTTGAACTTAATGTTTGTGATGTATGCTGTTGGTTACAGTATAACTGTCATTCTGCATAAATACCCAGAATTTGAGATATAATACAATGGATTTTTTAAAAGTTGAAAAAAAAAAAGAAAATCTTTCTTTTAGGCACACACAGATATAAAGATTCAGTCAATGCATCTCAACAATGGTGACAAGCAGAATATTCAATTAGGAAAAGTAAATTACATAGACAATTCAGATCATAATTTATTCATACCGCAATGTATGATGGGAGCCATTAATGCATTGTGATTGGTGGCAACAAGGATTATTATTGTCACCACGGTTGAGATTCACAGGCTGATTATTGATGTCTGTGTTTCTAAATAAATGCATTTGAAAGTGATTTGATCAGAACAATTTTTATTAAATGTTTTGGATCATAAGAAAAATACAGATATGCTGTTGAACCACTAAGCTATTGTTAACAAGTTAAACCAAATCATCTGAATGAGTTTCATTTTTCAGATCACAGCATGATTATGTCAAAACATAACCAACACTATTGCTGAACGATTGAACTGAACGATTAATTGCATTTGCGATAAAATCGCGATATGATGAAACGCGATTTTGTAATCGCAAGAGCTGCGATTACACTGGTCACGTGACACGCGGGAGCAGTCTGCAACATCAAGCATCAACTTGCCACTCTACGCGGTCTGGCGTTCAGAAAAGAACAGTTTATTTTTAATGTATGTGATATTGTGTTATTTATTCTCTCCCCAACAATCCTGGATCGATTCAGAGAATTTCAGAATCGAGTCTGAGCTTTTAAACACAGATGCGTGATGACGCTGCGCGTGCTTCAGAAACGAACCGTGTTCTCCTTGCTTCTATTCTCTCTTTCTCTCTCTCTCTCTCTCTCTCTCTCTCTCTCTCTCTCTCTTTCTCTCTCTCTCTCTCACACACACACACACACACACACACGACACCGCTCGAAGCTTCCGAAACATAGTAACGTTATTTCATAAAGTTCAGGGTTGAACCGAATTACAAGGACATTCGCGGGCTTCATTGAACAGGTTTTGCCGCTTTGCTTGATGTTATAACATTACTCTTGCAGTGCTCGTTCTCTCCCGCGGGAATTTTACTTACAAATGCTTCACAGAGGCATTGTTTATGTCTTTTGGAATGCAGTTGGCTTAACGTTATATATTAAAACTATGAAAATCATAGAGAAGGCTGCTTTCATTTTAAAATACTAACGCGCGCTGAAGAGCGCTCGTGCATGAGGCCGTGAGCGACTCATTGGTTAAATGTGCAAACGTGCATGTCAAAATGTTTTTATGACGTGAAATTAATGTTAACACAGTCAGGTCTTAAACCAACAGGACAAACCACATTTACAATTTCAAGAGATATGTGCATTAGTGTGAATGCAGCTTATCATATTACTAAGGGGGAAAATCACTCCAGCTCTTGAATGATAAACATTCAGACAGCCTACTTTTAAATAGAGACCACACTTTCTTTATTGCTTGTAATGCTTTTTTTGTTTCACTTTATTTACTAGCTTTTATATTTTGAAGATATATTATTATATAAAGCCTATTTAAAATTCTTAACATTGGTTTAATTAAATGTTTTTTTTAAATTATTTTTTAAAGTATGATTGTTTATACATGTAATTAAATACATTTTAAGTGTATTAAGATTAATCAATAAAAAAAGTAGATCGGATCATGAGCTGCCTAAAGATTCCCATCCCTACTCTACAATGATTTATTGCTTGTCTTTGTCGACTAATACAGAAGGTAAATAACTTTTTTTTTAAATCGCATATTAAATCGCAATCGCAATATTGGTTAAAAAAATCGCAATTAGATTATTTTCCATAATCGTTCAGCCCTAAACACTATCAGATCACACTTTTCTTTGTTCATTTGACTGTTATAAATCTATAACAGCAGACAAATAAAGTTTAAAGTGAAAGTATAAGGGTCAAGAGCCCAACTAAAGCAAACACTGATCGCATAACGGTGACTTACAATTTTAGATTTTCTCCTTCAGTGATTCTGCTTGTGATCATCAGGTGTCTTCAATAATGCTCAATCATCACTAAATTAATCACTTAATTATCTCATTAACTTTAACACTCTTGAGTGTTAATTTAACACTCATATCTGCATCATATCTTCCATCTGAAAGCAGGTGAAGGTGATTTACTACTAATCAAGGAACTGGCTTTACTGATTAGATTACATGCGCATAACACTATCGTGTGATATATCGCCCAGCCCTAATATATATGTGTGTGTGTGTGTGTGTATATGGATCTATATACATCCACAGACCTGCACATGTGTGGCAGAGTGTGTTGATGTCCAGATGTGTGGTCTGGTTGCTGACAGGATTGTTCAGCACACAGCTGTAAGTGTTGTTATCCTGATATTCCACCTCCAGAGGTAGAGAGAGACTGATGCTGAGATCACACACACTGATGCTGGACAATACACTCATTCCTGCGTACCAGGACAGAGTCGCATCACACACACTCAACACTGATGAACACACCACTGAACAATTTGGGGACAGTCTGAGGACGGAACAGTCTCTGCTGATGACAGGAACTGGCAGACGAGCTGGAAAATGTGAGAGAACATAGATAAATGAGGATGAATGATATACAAGTAGATATTTAAGTAAGGTGCATGAGACATGATGTAAATCATGGAAGTATCACAGACTATTTTGATTATGCTTAATTTCCTATCAATTTGTAATTGTTAAATTACGTATATGTGCGGGAAAATGGTATTCAGCTGTTTATGTGTCTAGGATGCACAAATGCTGTAATTAACCTTAGAACTTTGATATGCTATTCCAGGTTTAACAAGTATTAAGATGCTTATTTTCTTAAAATCTATAGTTCTCAGCTCACCATAGACGGTAAGATTGAATATGTTGAGCGGTGTCTTTGATCTGCTGCCGGTGACTTTATAAAGTCCAGAGTCTGTGGTTCTGGTGTTTGTGATGGTCAGAGATCCAGTCTTCTCATTCAGTGTCAGTCTGTCTCTGAATCTCTCGAAGTTATTTCCTTTGATTTTAGCTATGAGATTGTTGTGTCCAGTTCTCCAGGCTATCAGTTCATCTGTCTGTATTTCAGTATCAGTGTTTAGAGTGACAGATTCTCCCTCAGTCACTGACACTGACTTCACTTCATCAACACCAGACACTCCTGAAACAACACACAGAAATATTCACTCAGAATTTGGAGATTTAACAGATTTAGCGTTTTCACCATTTTAAACAATTTACAAGTGTGCCACTTCACTAATTTTAGTGTATAATTCAATAAAAAATTCAAATTCAAAGTGCATTACAATGAAGTACAACTGTAGATTTCCAGTATAACGAAGTATAGATACAATATAATTGCAGTACACTGAAGTAAAACTGCAGTAAAAAACTTCAGAATAGTGAAGTAAAACTGCAGTACAACTATAGATTTGAAGTACAGTGAAGTAGCCTATAGCCTAGATATAATAACTACAGTTCAGTGATACACTGAAATACATGAGAAGACTTTAAATGCAAAAACCTCAAAGTCCATCTGAATTTCTTTCTTTTTTTTTTTTTTTTTAAATGAGCTTTTTTTAAATCAGGCTCTCAGTCATTTCACTTTATGACAATGAAGTAATTTTGGCTGCCGTAAAAAAAAGTGAAATTACTGAACCTAAATAAAGGAGCTTTATAAAAACGTCAAATTAACTTTTTTTTTTTTTTTTGCATCTGAAGTCTTGGCCCATGTCATGAGCAATGATGGAATGTAACGAAGTACAAATAGTATTCGTTACTTCCTTTACCACTATTTATGTTTATCCCATCAAAATTAAAGTGGATTTGAGAACCTCAGAATGTAAAAAGTGTCCATTAAATAGTTGTAAATATAACAAGGGCTTTGGATGAAAGATAAATTACTTGTTTATATCAATAAGAGTTGTTGTGTAAGCTTTTTGTTTTCATCCTGTGTATTACTATTATGTCAATTTTGAGTGGTTCATTATATTTATTATTAAATGTAAAAGGTGCTCTGGCAACATGGATGCATAAATTTTTTTTAAGATATGTTATGTGCAGATGGGGTTTAATCATTTATGCTGTGTACTACTTGCCTCATTCTTTCTCTTAAGTTATTAGATTACAAAAAGTTAGATGGTTAAGATCACCATATAATGTTGTAATAGCTTTGCTGGGTTTATTAACTTGCTGGATTTATATTTTTTCTCTGTATTCGGTAGCCAATTCTGAAACGGAATTTTTAAGCTATAAAATGCTGTGTTCTGTATCTTAACTTGAGACGCCAGAACCCCTTTTACATTTAATAGAAAATATAATGAACAATTTATATTATTATTATGTAAAAATTCATACGAATTTTGGAAGATTTACAATGCTAATAACCATGGAAATGTGTCATTACGCTCTGTAAATATCTCTTAACAACACAATGCAATCACTAAAACCTTCTATTAAAAAAAGTATCTGGTAAGAATATATTCTATATTAACAATGCATTAAATCACATTACACATTAATTAACCACAATAAATAAAACAATTTAGGGTATACGATTTCAAAGATTGTTCATTATTAATATCCTCGTTTAGATGCTGGTTATGGTTATATAGTACAATCCTAACAATATGAATAGAAAAAAGAATGAAAAAAATCCATTCACTCTATTGGCTGTACAGCCGCAGAAAAGTTGACCAATGTAAGCTGTGCGGCCGCACAGCTTATATTGGTCAACTGCTCTCATCCAATCACCAGCTCCACTTGAAACTCCGCCTGGCGCTCACGTCTCCAACCCAACCGCACCCGCCCCCCTCCGTGCGCGAGCAAACAGCTGACAGACTGTCTATGGTAGCTACTGTAGCTAGTAGCGTCAGATCAGCAATGGATAAAGCAATGGATGAAAATATAAACGACAACAGCAAGCGGCCCCTGCTCGCCCCTACTGTAAAGTTTGGATGAAAGAGAAAGTCTGTGGAGGAAAGATCAGAGATTAAAAAGAAATGTGAAGAAAGCCGGACTCTAAGTAGGATAAATATAGCGTCCTTCATTGACCGTTGGAGAAAGCTTCAGGGAGATCTGGGACTGAAAACGACGCTGACACAGATGACTTTTTGTTGAGCAGGTAAACATTTATTTATTCTTTTATGGTGTGATGTGTTACTTGGCTTTTTATCAGTTTGACAACTTGCTCATGCTGCCGGTCGGCATTGGAATGTTAGCCGTTCCCTTTCGTTGTCACTTCGAGTTACGTCAGAAGTGACGGAGAATGGGGGTTTCGCATAGAAAGCCAATCCTCTTCGAGTATTTAAAAATGAGCCAATGGCATGAAAATGCTTTGGGGCTGCGGAATTTGCATAGCGTATCTCCGCCCCACCCCGTGGGTATAAAAGGAGGAAGTGAACGCAACCGCAGTATGTTTTCGCTTCGGAGCCAAGAGACTTCTTCACTCCTTAAAGCCATGCTCACTGACAAGACTCTTCGAGACGAGCGTCCTCTTCAGTGTTGGTATGACGGCGGTTGCCTGCGATCTGAGCAGTGGTCTGCCAGACTTTGCGCTTCTCCCTGGTCGCCTCAGGGCTGAAAGAGTGAATTTCCTCCTCTCATTGAAAGAGCTGCACGTGGCACGTCTTTTTAAAGATGCCTCGCCCGGGTTCTTCTGGGTGCGGACGATTCATGTCATCTTCTGATGGTCACGATCGCTGCTCTGTGTGTCTGGGCATTCAGCATGCAGCAGCAGCGTTCGTGGATGACTCATGTTCCTTCTGTGGGAACATGACCATCTCTACACTGCCATCTAGACTCAATGATCTGACAAAAGTGAGAGTCCCCGTGTCTGCTACTCGATCTGCTTCTTCCTCGAGAAGCTCTTCGACTCGCGGACAGGGTGATCTGACGGTGACGGTGTGGAACAAAGCCCCGACATTAGTTCCTCGGGCCACACCCCCCGCTCCAGTGTTAGAGCCAGCGAGCGCCGATTCGATTCAGGCGTCTGCCTCTTCGCAGGTACCGTCTGTTTCGTTCGGCGCTCCAGAGGATGATGCGATGTCGATCGCAGCATCATAAGGCGGGCTTGATTCCTCGGGAAGTGAGGATGCGGCTGCGTTTCCTCCTTCGGGAGTGCCAGCGTTGCCCGTGTCTGATCCCGAGTTGACGGCCATGCTATCTCGGGCCGCCGTGAGTATCGGGCTAGAGTGGAACCCTCCGCCCTGTCCCGATCTCTCTCGGATGGATAATTGGTTTTTGGGTAAGGCTGCCGCCGCAAGGCCACAGCCGACCCCAATACCTTTTTTCCCCGAGCTGCATGCGGAGCTGATGCGCACTTGGAAGGCTCCCTTGTCCTCCCGAGAGCGCGCTCTAGCCTCCCCCGCCTTTCCTCCCCTCGACGGTGCGGCCGCCCGTAGGTACGCTGGGATGCCCCCGGTGGAGCGCTCTGTTGCGATGCAACTGTGTCCACAGAGCGCCTCCTCCCGCGGTACTCCTAAGCACCCATCCAAAGCCTGTAGGTTCTCGTCTGCTATGGCGCCGCGTTCCTATAGAGCGGCGGGACAGGCGGCCTCCGCCCTGCATGCGATGAGCACTTTGCAGGTCTTCCAAGCCAAACTGCTCAGAGATATGCACGAGGGGGGGACTGACCAAACGGCCTTTAATGAGCTGCGAGCCGCCACCGACCTTGCCCTCCGGGCGACGAAGGTGGCCGCTCGCTCCGTTGGTCAGGTGATGGCCACTAGCGTGGTCCAGGAGCGCCACCTCTGGCTTAACCTGGCAGACACACGGGAAGCCGAGCAGACTCGTCTGCTCGCCGCCCCGCTCTCCCAGGTTGGCCTTTTCGGCGGTGCAGTTGAGGACTTTGCCCAGCAGTTCTCGACTGCCCAGAAGCAGACGGAGGCGATAAAACATATTCTGCCCCGACGGCCAGCTGCTGCCTCCACCCAGCCGTCGGTACAGACGCCTCCACCTGCTCGCCGCCGAGGACGCCCCCCTGCAGCTCCCCTCCCTCCCACGCGGCCCCAGCAGCAGCCTTCATCCGGGTCGCGTCGCGGAGGAGGCCGCAGGCAGGCGTCACAGCCCCCTCAGGCCGCACGCCCCGCTAAACGCCAGGCAAAGCGACGTTCCTGAGACGGGCTGCTCAGTGATGAAGTCGAGTGTTTCCCAGGAGGAGGTAGCAGGCCCCCTCCTCTGGAGGGCCGGGGGAGAATCTTTTGTTCTCAGCTCCCCGCTGCTCACCCACGGGTGGGCAGCACCCTGAGTTGGTTAAAGAAAGACTTGACATCATCACTGAGCACACAGGCAGGAATGGGTGTGCTCAACGTCCCAGCGCGTCGACCCGCTCATTCCTCTCTGTCTCTGAGGGTGCGGAAGGGAGCGTGTGTCGTCCCTCGACTACGCCACTCCCCTCCCCCTCTTTTGCCAGACCCCCAGCAGAACAGACCCCCGTGGAACGTGCGTCCTTCCCTGGTCTCTTCTGTCGGGCAGCGGGGTTCGACTGTGCATCCGTGCGGGGTAACTCCTGTGCGCATGCCAGTCTCCCCGCCTCGCTGCCCCTCCGGGGGGACGTCTGTGGTTCGTATGACCCCGCTGGTGCAGTTCCTGGGAGCTTGGCTAGAGCTCCCCGGCCTGTCCCGCTGGGTCATCAGAACGATCAAATTCGGCTATGCGATTCAGTTCGCACGGTCTCCTCCCCGTTTCAGGGTGGCAATGCCCCGGTCATGAGAGCGGAGATTGCGACCCTGTTGGCGAAGGGTGCAATCGAGACGGTCCCTCCAGCCGAGATGAGGTCCGGGTTTTACAGCCCCTACTTCATTTTTCCCAAGAAAACCGGTGGGTTACGACCGATCCTGGATCTGCGCATTTTGAACCGTAGTCTTCATCGACTACTGTTCAAAATGCTCACAGCCAAACGCATTTTCGAATGCGTTCGGCCTCAGGATTGGTTTGCAGCGATCGACCTGAAGGACGCGTACTTTCATGTCTCCATTTTGCCTCGACACAGACCGTTTCTTCGGTTTGCTTTCGAGGGCCAGGCATATCAGTACGCGGTTCTCCCATTCGGGTTAGCTCTGTCACCTCGTGTCTTCACGAAGATCGTCGAGGCAGCCCTTGTTCCCCTTCGCGAACACGGGGTTCGCATCCTGAATTATTTTGACGACTGGCTGATATTGG